TTAGTACTTGTAGTACTACATAACATTTCAAGCACTGAACCAAGGCTAAATGCATATGTGAGGCTGAATATCCAGAACAGAAGAGTTCAATCACAATTACACTCCATCTCTGACTCTGCCACTTACAACCTTCTGAAAACCACATCTGTATGAAAACTTCATCTCATAAAAAGACAGGTGAATAATATCTTTATAAACACTTTTATTCTGTAATGAGGATTTTCTGTGGAATAAAATAGACTGATCTGTCATCTGTCTATCTATGTATCATCATCTATCCTCTATTACCTTTGTCTTCTGTAATAACAATTTACAAATGTAATGAATTACTATTTTTATACAATAGGATTTCTCAACTTTGATACTACTGTAATTTGGGCCAGATAATCCTTTGCTGATGAGGCCTATCTTATAAATGTAGGATGTTTAATAGCATCACTGACTTCTATCCAAATGTCAGACGCATCCTCTCTCAGCTGTAGTAACCAATCATGTCTCCAGACATTGTCAATTGTTCTCCAGCTGGAAGAGGCTGGGAATTTCCCTCTTTCTGCATTCACAATCACTGGTCTACATGTCAGACAGGTGATGGACACAATGTAATCAGATGTAGTGTGTGATAGTAGAGGTGACATGGCCAAAGAAGTGGATGCTTTGGTGCTATGAAAGACAATAAATATGCTAACAATAAGTATGCAGGACAATAAAATATAGGTCTATGATAGGACAGTAAAACAGGGCTCTCTGATCAGTTCCAGCTGAAGCCTAAAAATTATAACAAAGATATGAATTTGAATGCATTCTAAATAAAGGTATCATATCATTTATGGGAAGAATTATCTAGCAAAACTGCCTAATGAATGCCTGTGTCAAATATATTTAAAGAACCCGCTGACAGGATTTAAAAGGGCAATGGTGAGCAAACAATTTTTTCCTGCCTGCACTCTGCTGAGTCTCATTCCTTGCAATCAAACAGTTTCAACAGGTAATAAATAAAACAGTTTCTAGTTTATCAGATAATAAGAAAAATGCTACTAACCCACCCTCAGTAGACATTTAAGTTATTTTCCTTACATTTGGGAGAAAGCTGCACTGTTAGTCATACGATCTCAATTTTGTAATCATCAGGAATCTGTTCATTCCACGTATTTTTATACATAATGATCAAAAATATCTTTTTGTTTTTCAGTATTCTTCTCGGCCAGCCAAATCTATTCTCCTTCAATATAACTCAGTAACATAGAAAATTACCTCCCACGTAATGATGAGTTCAGACCGACTTCCTCCACCTCCGTTGATAATTGTTGGTGCCATGACTGGGACTAGAAGGAAAAAAATACAAAACAGGAGAAAAGAACAGAACAGGAAAACATGGGATGGCAATTATTAAGGTCCATCATCAGTGGGAAGAGTTTTGTTTTGGATTTCACCTTTCAAACTCTCACACAGGGGCACTGGGAGAGAGCATTGCATTCTTAATGAACATAAATTATGTTTACACATATCCAAATTTTTAAGACA